TGAGTATTGGTGTGGAAGGCAGAAGTGAAAGAACTGCCATAAATCACTAAGAAAGTCAGACACAGATGAATGACAACTTACTCTGAAATACCAAAATTTCAAGTCAAACTTATTTTCATGTAGCTTTACCACCCCTAGCTCCTTTATGAGCGTTTATTAAGGCATCTTAAAAATTTTAGAGGTAAATTAAACAGTATAAAGGAAATAAATTGGTATTCACAAAAAAAAGCAGAACATACACAAAAACACAGAGTTAGAATATATGCCTACTTGAAGGACGGTAGTTCCAGGTTCCACCATGACAGACTGACCATCGACAAACACTTCAATCAAGTTGCTTGCTGCTGTGGCAGTTGTTCGAACTGACCATCAAAAATATTGAAGTGAAAGATAAGATAACAGGGTTGAATTTATTATAGCAGAAGATAATGGGTTAATTAACCTATAACCCTAAAATTTCTCTAGACTGCAAATTATATGACACTGAATTAGAAACAAAGGCTCTTTAAATCCTGACTACCAGATTATAGTTGTCTTCTTTTAATAATTAAAACTTTTAATAGCACTAAAAATACGTTCACGGGAAGGACACTTTCTAAAAGCAGAATGACTGTTTTTTCCATTTTGGCACTGATGGGGAGTTGCGACTGCTTTCTATTTCATGGTAATTTCTATAAACTATTAGAGGGAAAGCTATATTTTTTAATTATTCTATTTGACTTGGGTCATTTTCTTCTATTTTTATTTAAAACAAATTAAGAGTTTAGGGTCTTTCAAGAAACATTCCATTGCCCTATGAATTTATGAAAATAGACAGTTAAGTATAAATAAATGCAATTTAAAAAATACTCACCATATTCTTTAGGAGACTTAGCAAGGCCTGCTAAGGCCCTTCTTACAGGTATCCTTAACATGTTGCTAAGAAAAAAGCAAAGAATAGTTACATTATTGTAGAAAAATCCTAATTACAAACTTCTGGTAATATTTTATTATTTTAAAGCATTACACATACATCATTTCACTGAACATTCACAAATACTGACTTTTCCCTCAATCTATTCTCATCTATAACCTATAGGCGAGAATATTCAGTCTCAAAGAGATTACCGACTTATACAATGTAAAGGAGCTACGAAAAGCAGCTGGGATATAAATGTGGGCCTTCTAATTCTGTTAAAGATAGTTTTGTTGTTTTTAACTATCAACAAATTATCCCATTAAAACACTACTACATAGTAAAATAAATTTCAAGAATAACAATTAGCTTGTGAGAGCTATGTAAAATAAAGCTTACCTTTCTGCCTTTGTTTTCTATCAATATGCCTTCTAACATTCTATATTCTGAGCAGTTATATGCTGTCCCGAAGGCTCCTGAGAAGTTCTGAGTTGGCTCCCAAGCCCAACACTGTAAAGCGTCTGGAGTGCCCTTTTCTGTGCCGAGTAGTACATGTGTCTTATAGATTTGCAATGATCTGTTTATATGCCTGTTCTCCTCCCACCGTATCATTAACTTCTTGAATCTACCTTTAGCGCCTAGCCCCGAGGTTGATACACAGTAAGCCCTAAATCTGTGGTTCTCAACCAGGAACAATTTTCGTTCCTAGGAAACATGTGGAAATGTCTGCACACATTATTTGTTGTCACAACAGGGGAAAAACTAGAAGCATCTAGGGGACAGAGGCCAGGGTGCTGCTACTAAACATCCTACAATGCACAGGACAGCCCCACAATAAAGAATTATCCAAAGTGTCAACAGTACTGAAAGTTGAAAACTCCTGCTCTAAAAGGTTTGCTGAATTACTGAAATATATGAAAGTGGGTAATATAAATAACACCAATTAAAGACATACATAAAGAAAAGTTAGCTGAACTTTTAGAAGTTTTTCTCCATTCACTTGATCAGATGGGTGAAGCATCTAAATTTTTCATTTGGAATTTAAAGAAATACAAATGTGATCAGAATGTATCAACATAAAACACTTCAAAGATAAAGAAAGTGGAAAATAATACATGTACCTAAGTTTGAAGCATTAAGTTTCACGTACCTATTATAGGTGTATATAACAGGAAATTTCATTGAATCAGATTTCAATAATTCATAGATTTCATTAATTCTGAATTTGTGATACTGAAATCTGCAGACATCAGGTCTGTCACCTACTGATGATTTTTGGTAAATGAAAGTTTCAGCTTATTTACAGAGCAGAAAGAAAACAATACTTCCTAGGCTATGTATACCTTCTAAGCTATGTATTACTAGTTGGAGCTCAATAAATGTCAGTTACAGCTGAAATCAATTTAGGTGGTACTAGCCACTTAAGATCGGTTTTAAAGTGCTCTTCTTTTGTACTCCTTTTTACTATTAGTACATACTGCGTATACATCTCTATTATTCCACGTAGTAAACCGTAGGTTAGCAATCAGTTTAAGTATCTACTGAACTATAAGCTCCTTGACGAGGAACAATCCACTTTGGTCACTTCTTTTCTCTGAAGACCTAGCACCACGCCCTCGGAAAAAGAACCATCAAATAGTCTAATCACAATTTCCAGAATGAGCAGCCATCTGTCCAATTAAAATCTACTGATACAGAGGTAAACCTCAATTTGCTGAATTCTAGTGACAGATTCAAAATCACAAACCAACAGTTTATACAACAATATAAAAACTTTAATACTATTATTTTGTCTCCAGTACAATTTAATAGTGCCCATTTTAGCTAAGAAATCTACGAGAACTAGGCTAGCTGTTATAAATCAGCATCAAATGGCATACCGCACAGTCCCCAACGTAAGAAATACAGGTTGCGGGCCTGCCCGGGGAGCTCAGTTGGTTGGAGTGTCATCCTTCACACCAAAAGGTTACGGATTCAATCCCAGTCAGGGCACATACCTAGGTTGCAGGTTCAACCCTGGTTGGGGTACAGGGTGTGCATGGGAGGCAACTGATTGATGTTTCTCTCTCTTTCCCTTCCTCTCTTCCTAAAATCGATAAACATATCCTTGGGTAAGGACTTAAAACAAAGAAATACAGATGGCAAATCTTTGATATGTACTTCACACATATTTAACTACCATGGAGGAACAACCCTTTTTGTTTTAGGGACAATACTACTCCGCCTTCTCCATTCTCCACTTCTCTCCTTCCAAGGTACTACCCTAGTACTAGCCGCCAACATCTCCAGCCCCTAACAGGTCTCTGGCTCCACAGTTTCCCCAGCCTCTCCCTTCCTCCCACCAGGTGGGGCCTCAGACTGAAATGCCACTCCCTCAGATCTTTCTTCTCATCCTTCCAATTTTGGCTACAAAGCCATTGCTCGGGGAGGCTTTCATTGACCAACCTATCTAAAATCTCCTAACTATTCCCCTGGCACCTCAACCATTTCGTTCTTCTTCATGGACTTCTTTCTAGCTTCTAGTAGATGTTCAATAACTATTTGCTAAATGAAATATTTTTTAAAAGATTTTATTTATTTACTTTTAGAGAGAGTGGAAGGGAGAAAGAGAAGCAGAGAAACATCAGTGGGTAAGAGAAACATGGATGGGTTGCCTCTCAGGCTTTTGGCTCACAGGCCAGTGCTCAATCCACTGAGCCACACCAGCTAGGGCTGCTAAATAAATTCTATCTTCAATCTCTGTACATAAACGTGCACTTACTTCAATTAGTGCAGGCTCTCAGGCATCACTGTAATGCCCTGCTTAACAATGCACACACAATTTAGTGAAAAACAACATTCCTCAAAAAAAACCCCTTGATGTTTATTCATCGGAAACTGTTCACATTACATTTTCTGAACCCTCAATTGTCTGATCCAATCTTACAGTGCTGTACATGCATTAAATCCCAAGAACTTTTGAACAATGTAGCTTTGTTATTCCCAGTGCGACCCTGGGCTAACTTTTTCTATATCTTTTCGTTCAGTTTCCCCACCAGTGAAAATAATAAAAAGTACTGCCCAATGCAACCAGTGGACAAAACTAAAAACAAACAAAAGAAACAATCATAGGTATGGACGGTTGCTATGGTAATGAGGCCAAACAATGATGCGCTGTACCAGCTAAGTAATAATTTTAAAAGAAAGGCTCAGTCTTTAGGCCTGTCACTTGATACAGGTCCTCTTCCAGGGAACAACACGACCTCCTGTCCAGAAAGGGGCATGTCCTGCATTTCCCCTGCGGAGGGAAGGTCACCCACAAGCCTGCATTCAGGCCAGCAATCCCCAGGGCCTCCAGAACCTCTTCTCTGCGTCTGCAGCAGACCAGAAACCGTGGCTACACGGGCCTCACCCGCCGGTTCTCAAGGGTTCCCGGGGAGGCGGAGTGGGACGGGGCGCCCACTTCAAGGACAAGAGGAGAATGAGTCTCCTGGGCCAAAGAAGACAGCTTTGTTAAGAAAGAAACTCCTGTGGCCGAGGTACCGCAACCTTCTCACCCAAACATGACCTCACCTTCTCCCTAGAGCCTCCGAGGGTGCTCTGCAGAACTGTCTGCAACACACCGACCCCCTTAGACGCCCGATTGCTTATTCAATATGGCGGCTCTGGCTAACTCCGCCCGCCGGGCCTGGAGAACGGGAAGCCAGGAGGGACTAGAAACTTCAGATTCTACAATCTCCCCGCTAGATTGAGTTCGGCCATTTCCGTCAGTTTGACAGAAGGCGGGGCGAACGGCGTGACAGCCGGGAGGAGGCCGGGATTGGAGGCCTGGACCGCGGTTCCGCCGGAAGTAACGGGGAGGCATTGACGGAGCTTCCTCGGTTGTCTCCGGTGCTCGAGGGGGCGGGTACTGTAAATATCTGGAGGTCGAGGAGGTACTAATTTAAGCAATGCCCCATTTATTAGTTTATTTCTATCCACAAAGAAAGGTCCACGGAAAATTGGTGGGCCATTTAATTCAGAGCCCGGGTTTTTGCGTTGAGGAATGAAAAGGTTAACGTACTTTGACGTTAAACTTCCGGCGGGCGCGGCGGAGGGAAACGCCTCCATCTCTATATAAGGGATTTTCCGGCTTTTTGCGGCCCTTTCCTTTTTAGCGCTCGGCGCCTGTGAGCCCGCGCTCCTCTTTCCTCTGTTGCCGCCGGGTTCCTGGGTCAGCCGACACCATGGGTTTTGGAGACCTGAAAAGCCCCGCCGGTCTCCAGGTGCTCAACGACTATCTGGCGGACAAGAGCTACATCGAGGGGTAAGCGGACGGGCTGGGCCGGGTGCGCCCGAGACCACGTGGCGCTGTCCCCTGCGGCTGGAGGAGAGGCAGCCCGGCCTCCGCCCCCTTAGGGTAGGGGCCTCAAAGGGAAAAGGGGTAAAAAATGTGCCTTTTAAAATGACTTACCTGATTTCAGGTTTTTCTGCGTGTTAGGTCAGTAAGTGTAAATCTATAGGTGTGCGTTAGAGATTGCAACCTTTGAGGTCTATCAAGTGTCAGGCATTCCTTAGGATGAACAAAACAGAGGGTTCTTTACCTTCAGGAGCTTATTTTCTTTGGATCTGATGCAGTTTAGGTAACCCGGTAATAACTGGACGAAACTCCAATAATAAATTTGAGAGAGGAAGCATTTGTCCTTTTCTTTGATGGTGTTTGTGGCAAAACTTTTAAAGTCCCATGTACTTTTGTGTCGTTGGCAGGTATGTGCCATCACAAGCAGACGTGGCAGTATTTGAAGCAATTTCCGGCCCACCACCTGCTGATTTGTATCATGCCCTACGTTGGTACAACCACATCAAGTCCTATGAAAAGGAAAAAGCCAGGTAAGATTATCTTTGGTTATCTGGTGAGTAGAAATGTTTCCTATACCTTTTCTTAAGATTTTATTTATTTTCAGAGAGAGGAGAAGGAGAAAGAAGGAGAGAAACATCCCCAACTGGAGACCTGGCCCGCAACCAGGCATGTGCCTTGACTGGGAATCAGACCAGCAACCTTTGGTTTGCTGCAGGGTGCCCAGCCACTGAGCCACACCAGTCAGGGCACTTCTAAGCTTTAACTCAGGATTTTCACTTGATAGAATTGGACTCAGGCTACTTTAGTTTTGTTGGAATGTTGTAATAATAAGGGTTTACTTAACGGTTTAATAGTTTGGTTTTTTTTATCCTTTTAAAGCCTGCCTGGAGTGAAGAAAGCTTTGGGCAAGTATGGCCCTGCTAATGTGGAAGACACCACAGGAAGTGGAGCTACAGATGGTAACGATGATGATGACATTGATCTCTTTGGATCTGATGATGAGGAGGTATGGAATAAATTGGTATAAGTATATCATTGTGCTTAAGCACAGACTCTGTAGCCTAATTGCCTGGGTTTGGATCCTGGCTTCATTTTATTACCTGCCTTTTAAAAATTCTCACTGGTTACATGATGAATGAAATCAAATCACCATCTTTCGGCTGATGTCGTGATGGATTTGCATTTTTCTGATAAAGCTGGTCTTTGCTATGATGACCCCACTGTCTTTAAGTTGACGAACAACCAGCTTTGTGAAATGAATTAAATTTTCTCTTTACAGGAAAGCGAAGAAGCAAAAAGACTAAGAGAAGAACGCCTTGCACAGTATGAGTCAAAGAAAGCCAAAAGTAGGTCATTTTATAATTGTGTTTGTCTTCATTTCATCGTAGTATAAATAATCTTCAAAGATTAATCTGTAATTTCCTCCATTTTTACCAACTAGGTCAGTAAACCTGTAGAAGTGGGTCTTCAGATTTCCACAGTTACTGGTCTGCAGCTGTTCTGACGGTGGCAGTTGTGGCATTCCTCTGTGGGAAAGGAACTGTTACACAGTTAACACCTCTTTCTTAGCAAAGCAGAAAGTGGGCACGTGTGTGACAGACACAGGATGTGTTCTGTATTCTGTGTAGCTAACGAGAGATGATCCCTTTTGTAACAGATGGTTTGTCATGTGTCTTGGATTAATTAGGTTAAAAAAGATGGTAGAATATTTGAGTAATGCTGTTTCTTACACTTTTTTCTAGAACCCGCGCTTGTTGCCAAGTCTTCCATCTTACTAGATGTGAAACCTTGGGATGATGAGACGGACATGGCGAAACTAGAGGAGTGTGTCAGGAGCATTCAAGCAGACGGCTTGGTCTGGGGCTCTTGTGAGTTTAGTCTTTGCTCTTTGTTTTGTTTCTGAAATTGACGTTGGGAATTTGCGCGGTTTCAACATTTGCCAATGAATAGTACTTGTCTAAGATTTTTCTTAATGCTCTTTTCAGCTAAACTGGTTCCAGTGGGGTATGGAATTAAAAAACTTCAAATACAGTGTGTAGTGGAAGACGATAAAATTGGAACAGACATGCTGGAGGAGCGGATCACTGCTTTTGAGGACTATGTACAGTCCATGGATGTGGCTGCTTTCAACAAGGTCTGAAGTCCGTCCTGGATTGTTGCCCTTAAATAAAAGCTTGAAAGAAAAAGCTTGGCTCTTGACTGTTTAATAAGAGGGTGGTATGGTTGCCCCTTGAACAATACAAGAGGTTGGGGTGTTAACCCCCAACATGGTCAGAAGTTCGTGGTTATCTTTGTTCCCCCAAAACTTAGTCCCTAGCTCTCCATAGGGGATCGGTTCCAGGACTGCTCATGGATACTAAGTTTCTTGCATAAAATAGCAGAAAACAATCCACGCATTCTGTCTCTGCGTCATCCAGAGATGCAAGACCCAAGGGTACATTGGACTGACTACAGTTTAGAATTTGCATATAAGTGGATCTACAGAGTTTGAACCCATCTTAAAGGGTTAACTATATTCCTTCCATTTTTAGTAATTTGGTGAATGTGTGATTTGTAATGTAAATTTGGGTTATTTTTTTTTTAAGGTTTTAGAGAGAGGTTAAGGGAGGAAGCAAAATGTCAATTCAACCCTGACGGATAAGACCTGCAAACCAGGCATGTGCTTTGATGGAGAAATAAAAAACCAGTGACCTTTCAGTTTGCTGGACAATTCCCCAACCAAATGGGCCACTGCAGTCAGGGCTGGGTCAGTATTGTTAGACTAAGTGCAAAAAAAGAGGGAAACTACCTCTTACAAAAGCTCTGTAAGTAGGTGTTACAGATTTTATAAACTGATTTAAATGGGCTTAATCTCAGTATAATTGTATTTAACTAGTGATGTCTTCAGCAGTGCATGATGATAACCATTTTTATGACTTTGAAGTTTTCCTATCTTATTTTTAAGAGAAATTGGTGAGCTAAAAACTTCATTTATGGATATTTTGGGTTAAGAGTTTAGCCCTGTGGTTTGATGGTTCAGACCTTGCGCTTTGCAAGGAGTTGCCTGAGCTAGGTTTCTTCAGTGGGAATATTAGGGTTACCTTAAACTAAGTCATGTCAAATGAGTGTAAAGCTCTTACTTGGGCAATACTGGGCACCTGGTGAATAATGTCAATTACTCTCTGTGGGATAGTCAAACTTTGGGAGTTAAAAGGAATTTCATGCTGAGACAGACTAGACCTAAATGTCTAATGAAGTAACCTAGCATCTTCAAGCTGGTTGTTAACTTGTGACTGAGAAATCACAATTTCAGAGGTTAAATGTGGACGTGCAATATTACTAAAAGACACCTAACACAAAGCAGGGTAACAGGGTAAGGGAAGGGCTCCGAGAATTTCTCATGAATTAACCATTTGCCCAGATGCAATCATGTCTGACCCTATACAAAGGAGAAAGTGAGAAGTGTTGGGGAGTGTGTTTTGAGTAGTAGCCTTGTGTGGTGTGAGGGAGATTATATAGATAGATTCCCAGGCTAATTGATTCCCAGGCTATGGTTTTTTTGAAAGCCTGGCTTGGGTGGGGTGTGACGGTGAGTGGGGCTAAGTGGGGCATCTTTCTCATTTGGAATCTGGACCCACGGACCCACTGGGGTAGAAGTACTTCTGCACCAAGCGAGGTGGTACCGCAGGTAAATGTGCTGAGATGAAGGCAGGACGTTAAGGGATAGTCACATCCTGGGAACAGTTTTATCTTCATTAATTTGCCACATATATGACATTTGATTTATTTTTTTACAGTAGTTTTTATAAAAGAAGAGCTTGGAAATTGCTGACCTCTAAAGGTCTCTGTAGACCAAAGAGATGAAGTGATTTGAGGTCAGAAGTTTCCTAGCTGAAGCAGTCAATGCTGTTTTTACTTTCCCCTCTCAAATCTGATTTTCTTTATATGTGACTACCTTGAGTGTGGAAATTGTTTAAATTGTAAAGAAAGTTTGTTTAACTGGACGTGTATGTACTAAAGATTGAAATCATCTTCACTGAGCAATTTAGTCCAACAAGCCCCGGTCTAAAATCATGAGAAAATTTCAGGTTGTTAGTATCATGAGAGCCAGCAGAGGGCAGCGCCTCATTTTCTAAAGATTCAGATCAGTGGGTTCTGGAAATGCTATGGAGAGATTAACTAATGAATAGTAGCAAAAATGATTTAGGCATTGACATATTAAAGGGATTGGTACTAAGTAGCTTGACCAAAACATTAAGTTTCAACAAATATTAGTGATAAAAAACGAAAGATTAAAAATTTGTTTAAAAGGTGTTTAAAAATTCAGCATGGTGAGTTCAAGCCGCAGCTGTCTTACAAATCTTGAAAAAAGCCCTGACTGGTGAGGCTCAGTGGATTGAGTGCCGCCTGCCTGTGAACCGAAAAGCTGCTGTGATTCCCTGTCAGGGTGCCCCTCTGGGTTGCAGGCCACCCCCATTTGGGGGTGTGGGAGAGACAGGCCACTGATTGCTGATCGCTATTTCTCTCACACACTGGAGTTTCTCTCCCTCTTTCTCCTTCCTTCCTCCTCTCTGAAAATAAGTAAATGAAATATATTTTTTAAAAAACATAACTGATGACACATGTGACCACAGCTTGACTTCACAGCCTTGAATAATAAATATATTTAATAGTATCTTTTAATTTTATATTTTAAAGAGTAGATAATACATTGACATAGTTCAAAATTCAAGGGCTTATACAATGAAATCTTTGTTTACTTCCTGTTCACTTCCATAAAAGCAACTAATACCACCAGCTTCTTGGGTCTTTTCAGGGCTGGTCTGAGCAGACGCATACAGACTAACAGCAGCATTCAACACAAACAGTTCTGCACTTGGCATTTTGTCTGTAGAAACAGATAAATACCTTGGAGGTCATCTATATTTTGGATATTCCATATCAGTACATAAAAAGCTTCCTCATTTTTAAGTTACATAATCCATTGTTTCACATCTTATGTAACCAGTCTATTTATTGGATTTTTAGATTGCTTTCAATTTTTTGCTATTTATGAGCAATGCTGACATTTACATGTGAACCAGGATACTGAATGAACTGTTTTTGAACCCATAGTCTCAGAGGACATAGGTGTATGTAGAGAAAGAGATTTTATTTTTCTGTTTCTGTCTTTGGAGTGGAAGACAGGGAAAATAAGTGGCCACCTCTATTTGCATACCCCATACATGATTACAATAACTGAAACCTTGTTTATTTTTCAGGTTCAGCCTCCCCAGCACAGGGTTGGGTACAGTGTGGGAGGGAATTAAAAATGATTCATTCAGCATCACTCCTAGCTGCTATAAAAAATACAAAGAAAATGCCTAGGGAGGTGGTTCAAACACATACAAAATTGTTGAAAAAGTATGAAAGTCATTTTGTGATTAAGCAGGTATCCAAAAGTTCACAAGAAAGTAGAATTGAAGAAAAGTTTTTTTGAGAAATCAGAGCTTAAACTAGATAGACCTTGACTAGTTTGTTAAAAGGAGAGAGAGAGAGAATGTCCCAGGAGGGTATGAAAGGCGGAACGATAAACCCAGGAACATTCTGGAGGCCATTCAACCAGTTCGTCTGCATTTCCCAGTGTGTTGGATTAGACAGGGTCCAGCCAGGTTGTGAGGCATTTGGATAATAGGCTGGCGCATTCATGGGGAAACAGAGATGGTGTGGATGGAAGCAGGAAAATTAGCCTGTTATAATCCTACCATAAATAGAAATGACTAAACGATGGCATATATGCTCAACAAAATCTTTATAAGCTTAATAGAATTACTTAAAAAAATAGAGACTCTAGCAACATTGAAAAAATGCTTGATTTTATATTGTTATTATCAGAAGATAAGCTTATAGACAAAGATACAAATACAAAAAGAGTTTGCATTAGTGTTTTGAGATGCGTCATTTTTTTCCAAATACCATTTGGCACTTACTTTCCTTAGAATAAAAAAGTAAAATATACAGATAAATGCCTCCTATATGTTGTCTAATTTGGACTTTATTATAAGCCTAGGAGATTAGGCCAGCACTGTTATCACCATTTACAGGTTAGACTGAGCTCTGAAAGGTGATGTACCTGGGTATTCATCCAGTGAGAGCAGGAAGACCTCAAATCCAGGTCTTCAGAGTCCAATAATGTGTTGGTAATAGAGTGGGAAAAGTTCCTCATCCCTGCTTTTATACAATTTAATCCTATTTCAGCAGCACTTCATATCTTCACTTAGAGCGCGTGAGAAGATATCACATAAGGGTAAACCTAAATTGGAAACTGAGACTGATAAACAGACATTCTCTCGTCACATGCCCCGTCTGATAATAGTTGCATTCAGATGTCTCAAATAAGAGTCTGTCATTTGGGATTTCACTGGCCTGTATAACGTTCAGGAAAGTGAAAATCAAAAGAGAATGTCGACGGACTTCTAAACATTCATCCTGAAAGACCCACGGCCCATACATAAGCAAAGGGAAGAACTATGGATTACTCTCCAAGTTTGACACCAACTCTGAATCTCCTATTTTCACTTTGTTCCTGTAAAACGGGACTATTCTCCCCCCTGAACACAGCCCATGCTTTCCAGTCTCTACCTTTGTTCTTGCTGTGCCATCCACCTAAAATAACCTCTTTCCTCACCTGCACTTTGTCACATGGCAGTCATTTTTCAAAATGCACTTCAAACACCTCTTGCGAGAAGTCTTTTTAAATTCTGCTCCTTCCTGCGCCTTGCAGCCTCCCAGCACATATATTCTTTTATAGTACTTATAAACTGTCTTGTTTTAAAGTTGTCTGTGTGCCTCCTATGAGATTTTTATGTTCATTCAAAAGGAGAAGGGGATCTAACATTTACCAAGCTGTTACTATGTCAGACTATGGTAGGAGTTTCATTGAGTAAGTTTAATACCAGGTAATTTTTATCAGGTAGCTATCTATAGGGCTAAGTACCACTTTAAGTGCTTTCGGGAATACTCTATAAATATACCTACAGCAACTCATTTAATTTTCACAATAACCCTGTGTGGCAGAAAACATTGTTATCCACATTTTGCAAATGGGGAAAATTGAGGTCTGGAAATCTGAATTTAGCCAAGATCACAGAGCTAGGATGTGTTATAGCCACAATTCAAATCCAGATACTCTGCCTCCAGAGGCCTTGGGACTTGCACTATATTCCTAAGGGCTTCCTTCCATTGAGGAAAAGGCAGGTCTCCCTGGGTCTATACCCCAGTCCCTGAGCTTCCTGGGATTTTTTCCTCTCCTGCCAACTAGGCATCAAGCTCCTTCGCTTTTCCCCCAAATTGCTGTGCCGCTTGTCCAGCTCCAGCCTCTGTCTTTCTTGTCCTTCATCCTGCTCTTCATCGTTATCCTTCAGGAGAGCCTCACTAACCAAGTCTGCCTGCTGGGGGAGGCGGCTTGGAGTCCCCAGTCCTGGGTCTAAGCGTGGGTCCTCCGTTACTCCTTTATCTTCCCTCAAACTGAGAATAAAAGTAATGTCCTGTGTCTGCTGCAAACGCCTGTACTGGCTGCTGATTTCTCCTAGTGAGTTCCTGTCAACATGCCTGCTACCAGCTATTTTAAAAACGCCTAAAACTGGAGTTCTTAGCCTGGCGTCTAAGGCCTCCCTGGTATTTTACTTAAAGGCATGTTTCTGTAGAAAGGACCCATGACTTTCATTAGATTCTCACATGGATTCAAAGTTCCTCTAAGACCTTCGTAGACCTTCTGAAAGCACTTTTATTTTGGGAAGCTCCATGCCTCATAGCAAGCATTGACACATTGAAATCCCATGTTAAATATATGTTTTTATATAATTACTAAATACTTCATCTGACCAAGCAATATAAAGGTATATTTTATGGCATGCAATTAAGTATTCCTTTAGACTTTTCAAGTTTCCTTTTTGTATTCTAGAGCCAATCATTATTTTTTAAGATCTTGACTATTTCCTTAGGCCACTGGAAAGCTCGAGGGCCCTGGATTTACCGAGTGCCCACTTAACTGAGTGTGTGGAACGGCTCTGCATGAACTCCTCACCCACGAAGGTCAGGAAGCACTGCCCTGAAATGTAACTTCCAGAAAACCCCCTGCTCCATTCATTTTCCTCTGCCCTCGGCTGCTCCTCAGCCTTCCTTTCTCTTCCATAGCCTTGAGAGTCTCCATTTGCTCCAAAAGGATGAGAGGATGAAGTTCTCTCTTTTTTTTCCTTCTCACATCCTCCAGCTTTTCTCCTGATTCTGGGAACCCAGGACCTGTTCCTCCAGGGACAAGGGGAACCCAGAGTGGAATACCTCAAACCTCGGGTGGAGGAAAAGGTAAGTGCTGGACAGAGGGCCAGAAGCTCACAGAGTTTTTCTCTCCCTTCCTCCCCTTACCCTATCCTGGATGTAGCAGAAACCACGAGGTCTAGGAATAGCAGAAGTCTAGGTAGACTGAGCTATGCCACACATTTTTTGGAATAATTTCCAAAACCAGACCTGATTGTTGCATGGAGCTAATAGTAAAGAACATAGACAATACATGACCTGATAGTAGATGAAAGTAATAAGATACGAAATTTAAAAGGATACTGATTCAAGAAATAACAAAGCTCCCCTCACAACGTCCAAATTAAAATAGAGAAATTGTAGAAAATTAAATATATGTTTATTTATTTTTATTTTCTTAATATTTTTTATTTATTTTCAGAGGGAGGGAAAGGGAAAGAGAGAAACATTGAATCCATCAGTTGCCTCTCGCACGCCCCCAACTGGGCACCTGGCCTGCAACCCAGGCATGTGCCCCGACGACTGGCTTTCAAACCGGTGACTTTTCGGTTCGAAGGCCAGCGCTCAATCCACTGAGCCACACCAACCAAGGCTAAATATATATTTTAAATTGCAGTGAGTAGCAGAGTTTATCTTCATGGAGGCCAGGATGCCAGTGGAGACAAAAGTTAGGAACAGGACCACAGGGAACCCCAGAGGCAGGGACAGAGACTCCCTGTGTCCCCTAACCTCCACGCTGATGCCAGCTCTCTGCACTCAGAACCATGTGTGCTTTTCTAGCTCTCTGTGGCACTTAGTACAATCTGCTTTGTTTTGTGACCGTTTCTATGAAAATTTCATCTCACTTTGTAAGCTATAAGTACCTTATGGTTGTTGGCACCCCTCACAATACCTGTCTAGCTTTGCATACCTCTTAGATATTCCCTTATCTGCTAAATGGACTAATGAATACAGGTCAAAATATTCTTACAGTCTATTATGCAACAGATGTACACCTGACTTAAAGGTATGTTTTATTAGTCCTTTTTTTCCAAGATTTTTAAAATTTATTTTTAGAGAGAGAGGAAGGGAGTGAAAGAAACACTGATGTGTGAGATACATCAATCATCAGTCAGTTACCTTTCACACACACCCACAAACAGAGGCCTGGCCCGTAACCCAGGCATGTGCCCCGACCAAGAACTGAACCAGCGACCTCTTGTTTCGGAACCCACACATCCACTGAGCCACACCAGCCAGGTCTGCTTTATTGGTTTTATACCGGTGTCTATATAAAGACTATTATAGAAATAAAAGGCTTATGACGGCTTTGACCAATAGGGTACAATGGAAGTGACACACTGTCTGTGTTGAGCATAGCTTTTAAGAGGACTAGAAATGTCTGCCTCGGTCTCTTGGAGCCCTTAGTTGCTGTATAAGAAGTCTGGCTACCCAGAAGCACCATGATGGAACAGCTGTGTGAGGAAAGAAGAGAGGAGAGCGGGGGGAGGAGAGGAGAGAAGAGGGAAGGGCAGAGAGCTGCTCAGCCAGCCCCAGCTGCTGGGAACCTCAGCCACTTGGGTCACTGCAGTCCAGCAGAGGTTCCAGGCATGGCAAAGCACAGAGGAGCCTCCCTTCTGTGCTTGTTCGAATTCCCAACTCTGAGTTGTGAGATAGCATAGTAATAAATCGTTGTTTCTAAGCAACTAGATTTTGGGGCAGTTTACGAAGCATTAATAATTATCAACTGGAAAAAATGCTTTAAACTAATTACTATAATCAACTATTAGTTTAATTCATAAATGTATACACAAAGGTTACATGAAATTAAGATGTATACACGTTGCATTTTAAGAACTTTTCTAACAGGTTACTTGTACAAAATTAAAAAGCTTAAGGAAACTTAATTTATCATTTTTGAAATGAGTTAATAACATATTTAATATTAAGATGCAGGACTTACAGACATTTGTTAAGATTTATAAAATAATAACCGAACTTGCCTCAACACCCATGATTAATCCACTATAGTATAATCAGCAAGAATGACACATAATTTAAGTAGCAGGGGAAAAAATGAAAATCTTTCGTAAGTGTTATATCTATGCAAAAATGTGATGCCAACGAACTAACCAAAAACAACAACAAAAAGCTGTGGCCAGCTCTGTATCCTGGGACCAGATCATCTGAAAGCATCCGTCAGGAGACCCACACAAAAGCCTGATCCTGATTTGTGAAGAGTAGTGTTTCACTGGGCTGTTTCCAGGAGACACGAGTTCTTGGTTTCTGAGTTCCTAAGCTGTTCGCCCGCCATGCCAGAACAGCTGACTTCCCACAGCGTGTACTTTAGTATCTCAGCAACCGAGGCACGAAAGCGTGCTTGGAACTTCTTACTAATTAGGACATAAAGGATGGGATTCAAGCAACTATTGAGGAATGCCAGAGCCGTGGAGAGGGGGATTCCAGCCCGCAGCACCTGGTGGAAATAGCTACTGTGGTGAATCGTGAGCTCCCCAATGCTGAACAGGTGGTAAGGAGTCCAGCAAATAAAAAAGGCCAGGACCACAGCTACGATGGTCCAGAAATACTTATTGGAGACCAGGTTGCTTCGCTTCTTCACCTTGAAGATGAGACACAAGTAGCAAATGCACATTGTTAGTAAAGGTAAGAGGTAGCCAACAATAAATTTTACCCAGGTGAGAACATGGTGCCTCATGAAAGCGATGTCAGGATCATGCTTGTGGAAATTGTTATAGCAAATAGTGTGGTTATTCAGCTCCTCAGTGTCCCGGAAGTACAGGGAAGGACCACCCATTATAGCAGCCAAAAGCCAAACGAGTACAATAACAATCAAGGAATTCCTCAGGGTTCGGTGCCGATGAGCTAGGACAGGATGGACCAAGTGCATGTAGCGGTCCAGGCTAATGACCATCAGGAAATAGACACTGGCAAACATGTTCAGCTGGGCAATGAAGGAATTGGCCTTGCACAACCAGAGCCCAAAAGGCCATTGGAAATTCATGGCTACATAGGAGATATACAGGGGCAAGAAGAGAAGAAAAATGAAATCTGCGATGGCTAGATTGAGAAACCAGAGAGTGGTGACTGTCTTCTTCCACTTGAAGCCTGTGAACCAAATGACAATGGCATTTCCTGGAATGCCCAGGACAAATGCTAAACAATATAGCACGAGGGAGACCCAGTGAACCACTCCCAGGGGTACTTTCTCTTCCACATCAGAGTCTGGGGAGTAATATTCCGTGGGATAGGCGTAGTTCTCAAATTCTTCGAATAATGTTTCTTCTAGATCTTCCATGACCTTGAGAAGCTGGAGGATGAAGAAACCTATAGAAGCAAATTTAAAAAGAAAACCATTTTGAAAAGAACAAGAAATGTTCAGTGAATAGGAACATAAGGATAAAAATATTTCATTTCAGGAACTGGAAATAATAGATGTCTGAGTAGTACTTGTGATTATATTCTTAATGTCCAAATCTTGGTGGACTTCGGTGATGTACTGATAATTCTCAAAGCAAGTTTTCAAGGCAAAGAGAACAGGCAGTGCATTTAAGAAAACCCTTTTTAACCACAGAAACTGAATGTGAGAGTTTTTGCAATTGACTATGCTGGGCTGGTAGGACTGGGGCTTTATAAGAAAATAAGAGGCAGCATAGGAGTAGTTGTGATGATACCAGACCTGTGCTGTTCTGGCAGAGTGAATGCCCTCTGCCCTTTATTTCATAATTTAAATGTCTCCAGGAGCAGAACACTTGAATGGGTGCAGCAGTCCAGGTCGGGAGACCATGGGATCTGTGTGAACCGAAGAGCAGTGGACTTGCGTTCAGTGAACAGCAGCTAGTCCGTTCCAGCCATTTGTTTCCATGTGGGAAATGAGCACTTAGCATTGCCAGAGTTTTTGAAGAATTGCTGGATATTTATATTTTAATGTGAAAAGTTTCCAAGTTCTAAATTACTGTTTTAAACAAAATAGCTGTGGGCCATAGTCAACCCAGCTGCAAGTCTGTGACTCTTGGGACAGGCGAATTCTTAGAAACGTGGAGCTCTTAACCCTGGCTGGTGTGGCTCAGTGGACTGAGTCCTGGCCTGCAAACCGATAGGTGGCCGGTTTGATTCTCGGTCACAGCACATGCCTGGGGCTCGGGCCAGGTCCCTGACTGGGCGTGTGCAAGAGACAGCCACAGATCAGTGTTTCTCTCCCTCTCTTTCTCCCTCCCTTCCCCTCTTTCTAAAAATAAATAAATAAATAACATATATTTTTGAAACCACAGCAGAAAAAAAGAAAAACAAACGTTGAGCTTTTCAATAGTAAAGGGGGAAGCTATACATTAAAACAGAAATAGATACTCTGAGTTGGCCCCTGTGAATGACTTGCCCTTGAGGCAAACCCTCAGGTTTAAGACTCAACGGCCTCCCCAGAAACCTTCGCTTTATTCTCTGCCCAACTGATACAGAAGATTGACTACAGAAATTAGGACAATGCTTCTTTTCTCTGGAAAAAATAGTTCCTAACTTAACTGGGTTTCTATTAAGAGTTGTCAAGGAGGACCTTGGTAAGAAAAACAAAATAATAAATCAGCACCTAGGGCCAGAGCTATTTTTTTTCATTATTATTTTGCAAATACTTTTATTCAAGCTGGGGACAGTGAAACAAAGAAGGGCTCAGGGCAGAAGAAGCAACAGGAGAGAGCCCAGGCGGCCGCTTTGGCTTTGCTGGAAAGTCGGAGAAAAGGGGGCCTTGGAGACAGGTTCGGGGCGTCAGCCTGGGACAAGTTGCTGCTGCCTGTTACTCCCCTGGCTGTAAGTCCTGTGGGGTCCCTTAGAGTTTAGGAGATGCACTCTTGTGCGGGGAAGAAGAGCTGGAAGGGAAAGGCATGGACACGCTCCTGGGAGTGAGAGTGCACCCAGAGCTATTCTTTGAAGCAGGACAAAGCCCCTGGTCCATCAGAGGGAAGGGTGAATAACCTCCCTGATAAATGACCCTCGTCCTGTTTCCTGTCATCTCTGGTTAGAAGACCCCTATATCCCTGCCTCATCATCAGTCTAATCCCTACAGCTTGGACCTTTCAACCCTTATGAGTTGTGCTCTGCCCTAAATGTGAACTCAACCATGTTCCTGGTTCAAAGCATAACCTGGGAGTCTTCCTGGCCCATAGACCTACCTCTGCTCCACTCTCCAATCTAAGTAGCTGGGTACTGCTTTGTTCCTAGGCCTTCTCCAGGCGGTCCAGCTTTGGATTGCTCTATCGTTAGTTCTTGCTAGTCCTTGGGAGAATGCTGACCTCTATTACCACATTTCCATGACTTTTCTCATTTGCTCTCTTTCAGGTTCCACATTTCTGTGCTCCCAATTGGTTGGACTCTTCACCTACCAACCCAGGAGACAACACCCCGCCACCAACTCCCATTTCTTATGCCACAAAATCTACTCCCATGGTTCTCAACACAGGACAGTTTTGCCTCTCAGGGGATATTTGGCAACATATAGAGGCACTGTTGGGTATGACGACAGGGGATGAGGGAAGGGGCAGGTGGGTGCCACTGGTATCTTGTGGATAGGGGCCAGGGGTACTGCTAAACATCCTAGAATGCACAGCCCCCCAGAGGAAAAATGGTCTTATCCCCCAGATCAGTGAGGCTGACGTTGAGACACCCTGACCTACACATACTGAGCCGAGTCTGAGCCCCTTCCCTCTGCCTCTTGCTGGTGAATCTGCCCTTTTCCTGGGAGCATTCTCATTTCAGAGTCTTGGCTCAGCTTGGTCCATCCACCCCGCTACACCCCAACTGTACCTTACAATGCTTGCAAACTGGTGATCGGTGTGTTTAATTCAATTGAAACATGTTTTAAAAATATTTGATGTGGATGTTAATATTTAAATATTGGGAGATTTCAAAAAAAAGATTCCACTGTTTAGCTTCTCTGGATAATTTATAATATCTGTTAGGAATGGGCCTGCATTTCCAATGGCATTTGCGTTCCTCTTCAGACGAGGTGTGTACTCTCTGACTTGCCCCAGTCACCACCACTTCCAAATAGCACATTTATGATATGTTCTAAGATGCTGCCAGCACTGAATCTGCAATCTTTGCTAATACTGTGTAAGAAGAGAAACTGTTGGAAAAAATTAAAACTACATGAAAGTGCAAATGAAGTGTGTGAAAGTGCAATCTCCAAATAAGGTCTGCAACCTCAAAGGAAAAATGTGGTCTACCAAGAAATCTTGCAACCTTGTGCATTTCTGCCAATGAAAATTTAAGGGTGTAAACTTAAAGAGATGTGTTTTTAAACTTTTAAAAACTGAAATTCGGCTGTATCATCAATCATGTTGTGTTATACTTATCTGTTCATTCTTGATGAGACAAGAGAGAGCAAAAAGAGATACAGAAAGAAAATATGGGGAAATTCATCCTCAATGCAACCACGTGGCAATACACCAGTGTTTTGGAGAAGTGGGGAGCAGGGAGGGAGACCGGGGGGTGCGAACACAGCCTCAGGTGAAAGCGGAGGGATTTCTGGGCAGTGGAAAGGAGCCTTGCTGGGCAGTAAGCAGAAATGGAGATGGAGAGCAGGCAAAATTAAGTCTTTGAGTTCAGATCTCAAGGAAACATTGTCGTTTATGAAACAGAGTCAAATGGTGTCGGCTGGCAGTGACTTTCCATTGGGACGTTGTCTAGTTTTGTCAATTTGGAAGTCCTTGAAGGGGCAAGGTGACAATGTCAGAATGATGCTTTAGACTTGACTTAAAAGAGAAAAGAGCTACTGTATTTGTCTTAAACCATGTGTGATACTGAAAAGCAAATAAATATTCTGACTGAAATGAAGGCTAGTGAAGATCTACATGATTATAAAATCTTTGGAGTAGCCACTTCAGTACGTGGCAGGCTGCACCGTGCACAAGAATGTGTGCAGATACACCCAAGTCTCTTAGGAATGTGTGAGAAACGCTCGGTGTGGAGCAAAGGTCAGAGAACCATCCCTGAAGTCTGTGGCTTGGCCTCCAAAGAATGTGAAGAGGCTTATTTCCTGCAGGGATTCAGCTGTCCTGGGGACCCAACTTATCACTTTCTGGGTAACACTGACCCAGATACTTAAGCGGCAAATGTCTACTTCTGGAGCACAGAACTGTTTATTGAGTTAAACAAATTGGTTTCTGGTCTATTCAGATTTAATAGATGGTGAAGCTGAAATTCTTTTCTGAGTAAATAGATTTCAGAGCAAGAGTTCTGGCAGAAAGTATAATGATAAATAGTCTAAGAAATCCAGATGACTTGGGGAGAGGACATCTGGTAGTAATGTGTATCATTAAGCTTTTCAATGTGCCTTTAAACGAGGCTTGGCTGTAAAGGGAAACATTCTGTTTATCTACCTTGACAAACACAAAGATGCCTTCTGGCAGAACATTTGGTGAATGCAGAGAGGTTTAATTTACTTCCATAATGTTGAGTCAGATAGGTTTTCATGGACCACTGCTAAAATGTATACCTAATAGAATTTCAAGAAAATGTAGGCTCTAATCTGCTTTGAACAGAAAGAAGGATTCAATGACCTTGGTCTATGTGGATTGCCATGTAGAGTTCCTCAGACACCCTAATACAAAAGAACTCAAGGGCTAAATAAATGTGTCTTCTGTGAAAACCATAGGGGCCCTTGAGGGAACATGTATTTGGCCTCTGACTGATGACAGGAATAAGTTGAATGAATCAATGGACATGAAAGAGAACCTCTGGTGAAAAATCACAGCTCCATGACCCAGCAAGCATATATGGTAAGCAAACGTAATTTTTCAAGGGCTATCTTCTTAGGGAAGAGAGATGTTTTTGAAATGCATGTGCAGGGTGGGGCAGGGCAGGGGGCGGCAGGTAACAGTTATTTGGAGGCATTGTTCAGTATTTTCCACTAACTATCAAATAGAAACTGTACCCTACACCCAGACTGTACTCAAGATGTTTGGCACCAGTAGAATATTTTTCTGCGCTTTGGATGAACAATCTGCTTGGAAGGTGTTGAGGCACAGCAGTGTTTTATAAAGATGCCCTGTTTATTGACCCAAGGCAAGCGATGGAGGTTGACATGGAAACTGAAGGTTGGGTGTGATACTGACGGCTACTGCTGGTTGCTAAGAGCTAGAAGAGTGACTGCAGACTGCACCCTCTCACCCAAACCTGGGTGGAGCCTATCCTTTCACAGCGAAGTAGCTTGCTTAACTATAGCTCCCATGTCATTTATTGCTTCATGCCAAACACTGAAACATTACTGACAATATTCCTTGGCATATTAGGAAGAATGGAATTTTGGGGGTTTGTCTGGAAAAGAGACAACAACGAAGGGGAGTGTTCTGGTAATGATGTCCTTTGAATGTCATGCTTAAAGCATTTGGATGTTACTCCATTGCCAGTTGGGAGCAAATAAAAAGGTTTGTAGGAGAGAGTAACGTGACTGAATCTTTGTTTTTATAAACGTCATCTGGTAGCAGTTTGGGAGAAGGTTGTCACAATTGAAGTCGAAGATGGAAGGGCCTTAAGCAGTGACAGTGAGAATGAAGATGAGGGAGAGATATTTGAGAGACATTCATTTAGGAAGCTAACAGAACTTTTCAGGAAGTTTAGCTAAACTGAGTATGTCATTCACAATAACTTTTTAATGGAGTTGGCATTGAAAATCAACCTCAAACAGAAAAGCTAACTAATTTTAGGGCATACAAATGTTTTATTCACTTTAAAAGGCAGTGAGGTTGGGAGAGTTTTTCCTTTATGAAAGAAAAAAAAAGAAGAAAGAACAATTGAATAAAATGGAAATGATACTTATTTTCACTCTGCTGGGATCAAAGTCTTTTTATAAAAACCACTTCCAAGCTGACCTGCATGTCTAACCCTCTTCACTTGGGCAGTTTAAGAAGCCACAGCACAGCCCTAGCCAAATAGCTCAGCTGACAAGAGCATCGTCACCCGCCCGATACACTAATGTTCCGGTCCGATCCCCGGTCAGGGCACCCATAGGAGACAACCAATGAATGCATGGATAAGTGGAACAACAAATTGTTTCTTTCTCTTTCTCTTTTTAAAATTAATCAATAAAACAAAGTCTTCTAAGAAGACACAACACATATTTGAGAAGTCAGTGCCTACTTACGGACCTGTGGTTCTAATGCTCCACCCAGAGCTTAGTGTCCCCACTTGGGCGGTTGGTGTGACTGTGGATTTCTGGGAGAGAGCAGAGGGAATGATGAACTTTGAAGCAGGTGAAACTTTTAGGCTTAATTCCTTTCCCAGACTGTAAGATAATTAACACGGATGTAATGTAAAGATCAGGCAGTATGAGCTCTGCAATTAGACTGCTTGCCTTCAAATCCCCGTCTCCCCCTTTTCCTGGCTGTGGAATCTCAGAGAAATCACCTACTACTACCTCAAAACCTCAGTCTCTTTCTCACTTGTAACATGGGAATAGTAATAGTACTAAGTCATAGAGTTGCTGTGATGATCACATGAGGAAATCCTCAAAAAGCGGTCAGCTCAGTACCTGGCACATAGAGTGTGCTCAGTGATGCAGCTATAATTATAACCAGTGTAAGACCAAAGCAGGACACTACGGAGGGACTTCTATGTGTTACTTCATGACAAGGGTAAGAAATTTGAAATAGAGATTTTAAAACTTGTTTTGTTTTGTGGGCTTTATATTTCTAAAAACATGGACTCTATGTGCAGTTCACACATTGTTGTATGCCTGCCTTCTGGAGGTGTTTGAGTTGGGGGACCCCTGTGTTTAGCCCCCCACTGCTATTGTTATCTGGCCAAGACTAGTGAGAAAATGTAATACTGCGAAGCACTGTATTTCTCATACTTCTGTCTTTTAAAAATAGCTATTTATTCACCTTTGATTAAAGGATATAATCTAGGTCTTTATCTTGCTCCTCTTTAAATATTCTCTAGAGTCTGGGGAAGAATCATGACTCTTGATGATATAATGTTTCAAAGCCTTGGTTATGGCAGCAAGAAACCCCCAAATCAGTATTTCCTTGAAAAAGGATTTCTATGTGTACAAGTAATTTTTTTTTTAGCAGGAACAATGTGGCCACTGAATCTGAAATCTTGACTGGACAGGACTTGTGTCACTTTATTTTTGTAGGGAGATCTGAATTGTCCCAGATTATATTTTGGATATTGTCACTCATATAAACAGTGAGAATTAAAGCTTTAATCCTTTCTAATATCTTCTGGGCAGTGTTATGTCTCTTGAAGAACTGATTCTGGAAGCAGCAGTCACAATAGGGTACCTAACAGTTTATAAAACATCTCATAAATAGATACCGCCCAGGGTTTAAAGATTGTCTTAAAGGTTGACCATGACAATGTCTGTGTGAGTCTAGAATCTTTAACCATGACCTGAAATCTCTGCAGACAGAGCTAGGCTTCAGAAAAGTCTGGAGCACACAGCGCAAGTTTGTGCTGCTACCACAATATACCTTTGTTTTGTATTTCATCATTACTTGGCGCTAGGTATGTTTTGGTTTTCAATCACATATTGTTAGTGACATTTACAGAAGTCTTGGAGCAAGACATTTCCTTTCTTAAAGAAAGAGACAGCTCTTCTCCTAAAGGAGAAGGAACAATAGTCAAGGAACTTACAGAATACATTGAAGTTGCAGCCACTCACAAAACAATACTGTTCATCATTCAGAGACGTAGTAAGTGAACTTGGTGAGGGGGGTGGATGGGAAATTTGTTTTGATAGCAACAGTAATGCTTTTTCAACACGGCCGCAGAAAAAAAAAGGGGGGGGTGGGGAGGGAAGGGCAACGTTTCTAGAACTTCCTCCTATTCATACCAGATTGTGCCTGAAAACATTTTTTTGCCTTTTTCTCCCCCTAGGAGGAGACAGGAGGGTGTATAGGATAAAACGGAGTAGTGGAAACTAAAATAAAGCAACTTGAAAGGCTTACCCATTGGTCATAACCAAACAAGTGGGTCCCAGAATTATTATTGTGAATACTTCTAATTATTTTATGATAATGAAAACAAAGCTAGCAACCTCAGCACTCCACTTCGCCATGGTCAGTCTTATTAGGACTAGCCTGTTGAGGTTTGCAAAACAAATTTCAAGAAGACCACTGGGAAACTAAAGCAGCGCAAAGAAAAAACTCAGGAGGCTGCAGAGACTTGAGACGGGGTCTTTGTTGGAACAGCTGAAGGCATCAGGGAAAAGGGAGATCTTCAGGAGTTTGACAGCCATCCTCACATAGGTGAGGATGAGGGAAAAGGAAGGGGTTTATTCTGTGAGTTTCCAGCGTTGGAAGCTAGGGCAAAAAATGTTGGCATAGTAGCCAGGAAAATCTCGGCTTATTAGAAATATGAACTTACAGCTGCTCAGATCAGAGAATGTTAAAAACCTGCAAAACAACAAACCAAACAGATCGATTGTGTTGGGCAGGCGCTAAGGGGGTTCAGGCTCAGCCTGAACGGTCGCCGAGTGGGACACTCTAGAAGGCACTGACGTATGTGTGCAGGGGGCCTTTAAGGGCAAGAAGCTATGACAACGGATATTATTCTTGAGCCCTTATTCTCTACTGATCAGTAAACTGAAGAAGAGGAAAATTAAAGAACTCGCAAACCGTTTAGTTGGCAAATTGGCATGGCTAGAATTCTTATCCAATTTGTAAACGCTCAGGCTCTTAATCTTCAAGGACCCGAAGTACAGGACTCCTTTCTCAAGAGGGTTTAACATAGTGGAGATTCTGAGAATGACAGACTTTAGAGAATAATTCTAGTGTTGCTTCCCCACCCTTGAGCTGTACCTGTGGCTGAATCAAAACAAAACAAACCAAACAAAGAAAATGAACGGCTCTTCCCTGCAAATGAGGATGACTAGATAGAAGGAACTTACAGAAGGAACTTAGCTGAGAATCATCTAAGAAATAGAAAGCTACTTTTGTTCTTTCTCAGATTCTTCCACACCGTTCCCCACTTCCAGGCCCAGCAGAGCCAGCTTATGAGAACATTTATTAATTTTGCGCCCCTGTCACTGCTGCGTATGAGCATTGTGTCAGAGGCGCACATTTACCCAGAATCTATTCTGTCCCTGGGGCTGGCCCTGACTGCTGTTAAAGTCACTGCAAAATGCAGAAAAGTGAACAACCAAACTGCCAGACCAGGAATCGAAACCAACTTCTATCTAGCGCACAGCATCTGGATCCTGAGGACACTCAGGCAAATGGGAACATGGAGAGCTGCATCCGCCCGAGAGCCTCTCCGTTCCTCCTGGAACCCACTGTGATCTCTTCTTGGCCTTCTAAGGGCAAGGGTGCTTCCAAATGGTGCACGTCCAGGCCCTGGCTTGACTCATCAGGCATAAGACGTGGATGAGAGAGAAGAAAATCAAAAAGGGGAAGAAAACTTTTAACCCACTTCCTAGTTCTGATCAAGGGCCTTCACTCAAACTCCACTGTAGGGCTCTCAGGGCCCCGTTTTGTCCTCTGTCTAGCAGAGCCCTTTGAGGGGACCTGGTTCATTATGGGAACGGTGTCCCCCAGAGGTTAGCATGAAGTTATGACACCATCACACCTTGAGTTTCCCCCCATGATTTTTAGTATCAGCCTTTTATTAAAACAAACAGCTATTTTACCCAAGTACACTACTGTGCCTAGTTTGTGACCCATCTCTGAACATCTGAACACTTCCTTCTATTCAGAGATTTCTTACAACTCTCCTAGCCAAGGGAACATTTTCTTGTTGGTTGTCCACTTGGTCAACCCAAAAGTTCAGATTGCATGACATAGGGCCAGGATTAGGGTGAGGGCAGTGAGGTTATATCATGCACACAGAGTTGGATCCTGACTTCATTTAAAAGTTTGATATATTGTTCAGCACGGGATTCTTTTGCATCAAGGGTGATTACTAAGGTTTTTGGTAGCCGTGAAAATTTTGCCTCAGTTGCCTCACCCTAGTTCCTGACCTGCCGGGGCACTTGACCCATTTGAGTCCGTGGGCACCAGCTTGCCCGGTAGGCTGACCGAGCACTGGAACTGAGGAGAGATGGTTCAAGTGTCACTTCTGCATGTCACTAGCTGCATGACTTTGGATGTGTACCTTCCCACCTGGGACCCCAGGGGCCTCATCTGGAAAAGGCAGGTGACACACAGTTTTAAACAGTTATGAGGAGCTGAAGGAGGGCAGGACAGTGCAATCTAACCCTTCTCCGACTCTCCATGCCTCCAAGGAGCACCGCACCCAGGGCTTTGCGGAGAGCGGGTCTTCAAAATGTGTTGTCTAGTAAATTTTTGTTGCACATTGGATCAAAAATATGAACCAAGATCCAAAACAAAAGGCCTACACAAATTAGAAACATTCTGCAAATGAAAACAAAACCTCCCCAAACAAGAGTATTGTCTCTCCCTTACTCCTCCCAGAGAAAAGAATGAAATTGGAATCATTGCACTTTCTAATTCATTTACCGGTGAGTACAGCAAAGCCTTATTGCTTTTTCTCCACCCCCCACCCCACCCCCGGAGCATATATTCAAGTATTTCAGGTTATGAGCGAACAAGACTTGTGTAATCATTCAGCCCTCTGGGATTTCTTTTATTTAAAGATACCAGTACCACCCGAATGAGTCACATTTCATAAAATGTAACATCTGTGAGAAAAGGTTCTAAACATGTGGCAGTGCCTAAAACAGCTGTAGAACTGCCGAGGAAACACACTGTCCACTTCTTAACTAGTTCTTTATAGTAAGGCCTGCATAAGTCAGGAGAGAGAACATTTGTGCCTACAGCTCAAAACTCTTTTATTTTCTCCTTTTCTTTCCTTGCCTGTCCAAGAAAGGAAGGGAGAGAGGGAAGAAGGAAGGCGAGGCAGGAGCAAAAGGTACTTGTTCAACGGTAAAACATATGACTATATTTTCTATACTTTAACAGCTCTTTTCTTTTAGTCTGAGCTCATTTTATATTATGCCATCTTTCCCATTTACTTACTCTCTGACCACGGGTAGAAATCCAGGAGCTGAACTGCTTCTGAGAGCTCTCAATGATATTATTTGGCAACCTGTTTCTGGACACAGTAAATTTGCAGTCAATAATTTTAATGAATTTCATATCTTTCTTTCCTATTTGATATTACTCAACCTTGTCTCAGAAATAGAGGTCTGTTACTTGAGGAAAATAAAAGTGACCTTCTGAAGGTCCTTAAGCATGGTGGTTCGTGAGAAAGAATGGATGTAGGCATATGTCTGCACTGTCCCAATTGTCGCAGTATTCTGGAGACCTGAAAGCCGAGTGCTTCTTCAGGCCATCATGCCCTATGAGGCAGTCAGAAAAGATCTCGGTGCCTATGCAAGTTATACAATATATCTTCAGTGAAGCACAGTGCAGTGTACTTCCTGATAGGGAACTTGAAAGGAACTCAGTTAACGAACCACTTGATATCATCATATTTCTTTTTAAAAATTCTACTTTTAGCCCTGGCTGGTGTGGTGGTGTGGATTGAGCCCTGAACTGCAAACCAAAAGGTCAGTGGTTCAACTCCCAGTCAGGGTACATGTCTGGGTTGCAGGCCAGGTCCCCAGCTGAGGACGTGGGAGAGGCAACCGATTGATGTATCCCTTGTACACTGATGTTTCTGCCCCTGTCTTTCTCCCTCCCTTCCTGTCTCTCTATAAGTAAATAAATAGAAATTCTACTTTTAGAACAGATTCCTATATCTTTTTTGTTCATCACCAATTTTTTCTAACAAGGCAAAGTCAGACAAATTATTTCGACCTAAAGTCTCATTCCCTGAAACTGTGTTTTATAATTCATGTGACTAGTTATTAAAAGCACAACAGCTTGTCAATTCTAAGCTCATCTTTAAAACCATCTAAGAAGAGTCAAATTAACAGTAACCATAGATATCTTGAATTGAAGACACTTTAGTTTATAGCTTGTATTTAAGATGTTTTGAAGGTTCTGAACAGAGAAATTCACAATGGCCATTCAATTACTTCATAAAAAATCTAATTCTACCATACTGACCTGAAAATGGGACCGAAAGGTGGTGTTCACTGTGTTCTTTAGAAATTACCTGTCTTCCGCCACCTCAGAAGTCACATGTTAAGCAACACTTGCCTTGAACTTTACGCCAGTTACAGGACAAAGCAAGTCACCTCCAACAGGTTTTCCCAGCTGGTAACAGGCTTAAGCAGCAGTTACAGGCCCTGAACTGTTTTGCTAAAATGGACTTGGTAAGCCAACATGAAAGAGATACGTAATATGGACGAACTAATGGCTCGTTTGGTGCCTTTTCACTAGTCATGAGAAGGGCGTCAGTCAACATGATGTGCCCTGGAAGCATGCTGATCGACCACTTGCACTTTCATTTCTGTGGGATGTGCGCTGTTATTCACCCAAAGTAGATATCAGTGTCCTTTGGTGACTTGTTCTGACGTTAAGACATGCTAAATTTCTGTTCAAATGCAAGCTTTCTCCTTGACCATGAGTTCAATGTGAGTCAAGAAAGAGATGAGGCAGCTTAAAACACACACACACACACACAAGGTAAAATTTTCCCTTGGACTTTTTAACAGAATTGGGGAAGTATTTGTCCAACTCTATGGGAACTGGTCAGACTGCACCTTGGGGTATTGTATTCTTTTCTGGAATTATAATGTAAGAAAAATAATAATAAACTGTCCAAAACAGAGGGAACAGGATGGAGAGAAGGCTTTAAAGTACATCATGTGAGGAGCATTGAATGAAGTGGTGGAAGCCATTCATCCTGGAAAGAAAGGGCAGGTTGACTCTTTTTAAATGACTCAAGGGCTTGCCTACAGAAGAGGGAACTGTGTTACCTTCCAGACAGTGAAACTAAGAATATGAGGGAAAGAAACACTTTAGCTCAGTGTAAGTCAAAACTTCCTAAAGATTATGGTTGTTTAAAATTGGCATTTACTCATTTACTATTTACTGAGCATCTATTATATGTTTTATGCCCTGGAGATACAGCAGTGGATACCAGTGAAAAGAACCCATGGAGCTTTTGTTTTTACATGAACCTGTGTCAGATGATGGCACATTACTCATACTGGAAGATGTTTCATGAGGCAACTGTAAATTGAGGGTTTCGTAGCAGGAAATCAGCAATTAAACATGACTGGACTTGATGATGTCTAAGTTCTGGTAACCCTGAAACCCTATGTTGTGGTTACTCAAATGTTTTAGTGATGAAGTTTGATGGCTCTCTTGGCTATCGGTCAGGATGTACAGTTCTGATTCTGTGGCTTAGCCAGTCTTTTGTCAGTCAATGCATATACACAGTGATGGCTCTGCTAAGTTTCTTAGAGGACTTGGGCGGCATGGAGGGTAAAGCGAGAGGACACTATGAAATTTCTTCCATGCATATTGTACAGAGAAGGAACACAATTTTCCTGGTGTCCCACATTATCCCCAAATTGCTGGTTGCTATTCCTGTTACTTTCATTCTTTCTCAACTTGCCATTATTTGTTCGGGAATGGGAGTTCTCCCTTTAATAATCAATTTCCATTCTTTAATCTCTTTGAAAGAGGGTGGAGTCAGGGTAGCTACAGATCACAGACTCATTGTTAAAACAGGATGAGATGTTAGAGGTAATTTAATTTAATTCCCTCATTCTATATACAAGAAAACATAAAGTTAGCAGAACACTTTACACAACCTAAACACTAAAAACAGAAGTACTGATAACTACTGGAATTTTAAGCACAATATCTAACTTTGGGACAAGAAAGTTTTATAAAAAGTGAAGTAGAACTTCTAGAAATTAAAAACTTAATATTGAAATTTAATTTAGTGAATACGTAAAATAGAAGCTTAGACCTACTTGATGAGAGAATGTAAACTAGAAGATACATCTGAAGAAGTTATCCAAAATGTAACCCAGAGAGACAATGAAATGGAAAATATGAAAAAAAAAGCTAGAAAATGAGGAGTAGAGAGTAAAAAATTCTAACATATATCAAGTCAAACCTAAGTTTCAGAAGGGGATAAAAGCAGGTATTTAAAAGTGGGTCCACAATCAGAAGCTATTTTGTACTTAGATATTTTGATCATATACCAATAGAGAATTATAAAATAATGCCCGTAATATTCCTGATTAGGACCGAGGATGACTGATTTGGGTATCATTCAATCTGATACCTAATCAGAGGTGTCAAATGTCCTCCAGAGTGCAGGACCCATTGTTCTGTCTCAATGGCATTACAACCACAGGTTTGGTCACATGTTTGGTTTGGGGAGAAGGGTCATCTTTGCAAATGTAGTGCCTCGGCTCTTCACCTAACCCTGAATAAACTAACTCCATGAGAGAAGGCAACTGGAAGATGAGAACTCATCACAGAATGAAATTTGGACCATGATTATAAGACCTTTTGTAGAATTACAAAATGCTTATAAGCCTCTTATATTGATCTTGTTTCTATTATTGACTCTTCTCCAGTGATTAATAATAAAGACCTTAAGATAAAGATAAATATTTGTGGAGCAGAGACTATGGAAGTTGGAGAGATTCGTGGCCAGAGAAATGGGTAGTAGAGTCAGCTTTTGAGGGAGAGGGGAATGTCTTGAGCTCCTGGGTCCCCTCCAGGATAAGAAGAGAAAATGGAAGCTGGTTGAAGCCTGGCTCTGAGGCTGAATAGTAGAAAAAGACAAGTGGGACTCCCCGGCAATGCAGCCACTACAGTCTACACAGCTCATGCCCCTTACTATAATCCAGTACAAGTAGATCCTTCCAAAGACAACAATAGGGAAGGAATGGCTCAAAAGCTGGATGGAGTTACACTTTTTACAATATAATTACCTCGATGTTCTTTAAAAACTCTAAAATCTGTGGAAAAGACATAAAAACCATCTTTTTAAATGTATGGCTGAGCTGGAGAGAAAGGAAGGAATATCCTTAGTGGCCTGAACTGAAATGGTAGCAAGAATCCAGAGACATCAAAGCTGTTGGCTGTCCCACGGCCCCTGTAGCCTTCCCTTTGTTGCTACCACCAGGTAGGGCACAAATTTAAAATGTTGGACCAGAAAGTTTCCTGAAATGCTTGGAACCAATCACTCTCCAAGTGTTTGAGGAGGGACTCGTGCATGTGTATATGTGGGTGTGCAAGTGGCACACTTTCAGTTTGGCCCTAACCATCACTCTCTCCTTGCACAAAGCCTCAAGTCATCCAGAGATGAAAGCTTAGGGCCTTTTTAGGTCTTGACTACATAGTTTCTGGACATGAGCACACCCTATACATGAATGTGGCCTCCCTCTTTTGTTTAATCCTCACCTGAGGCTATGTTTTATTGATTTTAGAAAGGGAGGAAGGGAGAGAGAGAGAAACATTGATGTGAGAAACACACACCGCTGGTTTGCCTCCTGTTTGTGCTCTGACCAGGGATTGAACCCACAACCTTTTGGTGTTTTGGATGATGTGCCAGCCAACTGAGTCACCCGGCCAGGGTGAGTGTGGCCATCTTGATTCCCAGGTATGTGACACAGCTTTCCAAAGCCCCTCTGAATGCCTTGTTCTCCAATTTTTCTTTTAATGCTTTTTTGTTATTTTAATGCCTTTCCCCAGTTGATATCCATCACCTTAAGCAGCTGCAAAGTTAAATAATTGCCTGTAATTATTTTTGACAAATGCTTATGGGTAAAAAACTTTTCACAATGGTTGAGCTCTGAGTTAGCTCCAATATAGACAGTCTTGTAAATGAGGATTCTCTGGGAGCCACCAAACAGGTCATATATTAATTCTCTGAGAATGAAGCTTTGATGGAGCTCCAGCTCCTTTGTGTTGTTCCAAGGGGCTGCCGGGCTGCCAGTCTTCTCCTTGAACTCAGGCTATTAGTTTTTAAGACTGTCCCAAAGCTGAAGACTCCAAGGTGGACTAGGGCAAGTTAAAAATGCCACAGAGCTCACTGAGACTGAGCTATTTCCTCCTTCCTTTGTTCCTTCCTTTAGTCCTCCCTTCCTTTCTTCCTCGCCTTCTCACTTTTTAAATAAACACTTGTTGCTGGCTTTTGAGTAATTTCCAGAGTTCTGAAAAAGCGGATTCTGGCCTCGTTGCCAGTTTTTTGTTGCTTTTGTGGAGGAAAGAATTGCTTGAGGTACTTACATTGTTACTTTCGCTAATGTCACCTCAATAGGGACTCTGAATAGGCAGGCGTACTTTGTGCATCTGAAAACCACATGGCCCAAAGAGCACGGTGTTCTAAAAAACTGGGCTTATGAAATTTAAGGAGATTATAACCCACCTAACAGTTAAACTCCTATGGAATAATATACATTGTTCTACCACCTCCTTCCTAAACTTGCTTTAGCTTTAGGGACTATACAAATGAATGAATGAGTGAATGAATGAATTGACCAATAAATCAATTAAATTTATGGCTCATCAAACAGTCCAATACAGCGACTTACATAGAAAGGGCACTCAAAGCATGGTGCTGAATCTAACTAGATTGGCTCAAACAGGCAAAATCTTTCTGTTCTCTATTATGTCTTATCCTACTCATAGCATTAAATCTTTAGTCTTACATTTCTCCCATATAAAATTGTATAGTCTTTTTAAATTAAAAAAAAATTATTTATTTCTTTTTAGACAGAGGGGAAGGGAGGGAGAAAGTGAGGGAGAAAAACATCAATGTGTGGTTGCCTCTCATGTGTCCCTTACTGGGGACCTGGCCTGTAACCCAGGAATGTGCACAACTGGGAATCAAACTGGTGACCCTTTGTTTCTCAGGACAGTGCTCAATCCACTGAGCCACACCAGCCAGGGCTGTATGCTCTTTTATAAAGAAAATTTTCAAACTGTACTTGAACAATAATTAAATTTTTAAAAAAAGTAAATTTCCCACTTAATTTTTAGCATCACGCACTAACCAACTGAGGTAACCAGCTGACTTTTTTCCCATTCAATTTTTATAGATTACATCTGAGCATGAATAGAAAATGAGTCCTATAATATTGTTTTAACAGTAAATTCTCTCCATACAAAAAGGGACAAGAAGGGACAAAAGAAAGGAGGAAGGAAGAAAGACACTCTTGCTGGTTGACAAGGTGGTGAGCACTGACAAGTTATAAAAAAGTATTTTTACTAAATATACAGCAGAGATATAATCATTTCTGATCAGAAAACTCTTAACTAGCTCAATGGAAGGATAGTAATTAAAGAAGCCTATTTGAAAATAATCCAAAAGATGGTTGTGTCTCATATATTTCTTAATTTGTTATAATGAATGAGTCATATTTTAAGAGGATTAAAGCTGTTTATAATGATAGAGCAACATTTAAAGACTAAAAAAGCTTTACTAACAATATAATATGATTGCAGTACAATGTAATATGATTGGATAAGATTACATGATTCTTTCATTTACTGTTCTTACTAGCAAATTGCAAATTAAAAAAAAAAACAAACTAAGCAGCTTTTAATTTTGTTTCATTCTTTGTCCAAGATGTGACGATTAAGTGGAACCTGGACACACACGCACACATATTGAGTTAATTCAATTTTATAAATGTATAATAAATTGCTATAATAAATCATTTTCTGTCCTTACTTCTGCAGTGACTCTATTTAATTAATAATGAATACAAAAGCAGGACTTCCATTTCTACTCTAGCAAACATAGCCTACCTACATCCTTCAAAATTGTTTTATCTTCACTAAGTACTTAAAGTCATATAAAAAAAGCAAAGGGGATTTTTCTCAGTTCTTATGACATTGCCTTATTACTTTCAAATTTGAAAAACACTCTGAAAAGTAAGGAAGTTCCTCAAGATACCAGGCCTGGTCTCTTTATGAAATGTTTGTCATAGAAAAATAAACATGGGGATTATTCCAGATTTAAGAAAACAGATACAAAAACTGAGTAATATGTGACCACTGATTAGATACTGATTTTCAAAAGCTATGAAAGAAAAAAAAAGCTCTGAAAGGTATTCTGAGAATAATTGTAGAAATTTGATATGGATTGGATGTTATTAAGATAGTGTTTTTCATTTTCTTAGGTGTGTTAATAATAGTGTTTTGTAGAAGAATGTTCTTTTTTCAGGGATTGAGTGCTGAAGTTTTTAGGGCGGAAGTTTACAAATTTTTCAAATGATTCAGAAAAGCTACATACACATTGCAGTTGTCAAGCTGGGAATGTATACCCTGATTCTTATCACGAAACATGATGAACAGAAATACACTTCCTCCTTCAAGAAAAAACTTGTTGCCCTAGCTCGTGGGAAAGCAGGCAAGACAGAGCCTCCAGCTAGCAGTGCTAAAGGGACTGCTGCTACTACATGAAGCCCCCCTACCCCTGCCCTTGCCCAAGGTCATGTCCCTCAATGAACACTGGAATGGAAGTACAAGGCCTGACAAGTTCTGGTCCAACGGGAGACAATTCTGCTGGGCCCACTTTAGCTTTCAAGTCTGCTATGGTCAGTCCCACCTTGCAGCTCAATTTCTCCCCCCCCCACCCCGCCCAGTTGCTCCCCACCCACCCACCTTCCACACACAGACAGGGCACAACCTAATAAATGTCTGATTATTAAACTCTGTCTCAGAGTCTTCCAGGATAACTCCACCTGGGATGTGAATGGACATCAAATAATTTCTAAATGAGGAACACATTTTTTCAAAGTTTTGTTTCCTTCCTGGGGTGGGAGTGGGTTGGAAGGAGAAAGGCAAAGGGGGAAAATTGGGAAAACTGTAAGAGAATAACAATAAATATATATTATAAAAAATTTTAAAAATAAAATTAGCAAAAAAAAAAAAAGAAAGCCAGTGTGATCAAAGACAGAGACAGACTATGGGAATGTTCTAAATTAAAATAAACTGAAGAGACCTGACAAGTAAATGTAACATATGATTCTGGACTACACTCTGTGCAGGAGACAAATTAAATGCCCAAGGGAGCATTATTGGACCGGTTGACAACACTGGAATACGGATTGTAGATTAGATAAAAATATTAAATCCATTTTAAATTTCCTGTAATTGATAAGTATACAGTGGTTATATAAAAGAATGTCCTTGTTTTTAAAAAACAGACACTGAAATACATAGGGGAAAAGATTCTGAAAAACTACATACAAACATGCATAGAAAGAACATAAAAGCAAATGGAGCAAAACTATTACAGGCTAGGGAAACGGGACATAGGAGGGGTCTTTGTATTTTCTTGCAACTTTTCTGTAATCTTAAAATTATTTTCAAATAAGAATTTTAAATATATATTATGTGTGTGTGTATCACATATAAAGAATTACAGATCAGCCAGAAATAGCAAAATGTTAATAATTGATCTAGGTAATAGGTATAAGGCCATTCTCTGCATTATTTTCTCAATTTCTCTGAATGCTTGAGTATTTTCATAATAAAATTTGGAGGGGGAATATGGGGGCCCGGATGTTCCTTATTGCTTAAGTATGAGATTTGCAAGACTATACCTTCTGGAGCACTTTGCCTTTATTTCAAGTTGCTGCTCCGAGTTTAATGGTCACTCTATCTGTGATTAACTGAGAGAACATACATTAGCATACCAATTAGATTCTTAAAGTTTTCCCCTCCATAAAACTGAACTCTTAAATCATTAATTATTTACCTCCTTTTAGAAACCTCATTAGATGTACAGTGTCAACTCTGAAGTACCAAAACTTTCTCTCTTTTTATGCTCTGCTATATCCTTAGTTGCTAGAACAATTTCTTTTTTTTTTGCTAGAACAATTTCTAGAACATGAAATATGGTCAAGAAATACCTATAAAGGAACAAGTGAGAAAGACCTAGAATAAATATGGTTTTCCTGTAGGTTAACAATTTGATTTACTACACTCCAGCCCCTACCATTTTAGCCAGCATTAAACTTGATTTGACTTTTTGCTTGCTTTCTCTTTCTTACAGCAAGTCAGGAGAATCTGAATCCTGAATTATTTTAGCAATAAAGTCATTAACTGACGAACCCGAGCCAGGACATGTTCGAGTTAGCGCTGCTAGATTCCTGGAGGGAGCGGCAGAGAGCTTTTTGAATGCAAGCCCTGCAGGGCACTTAGGTATAAAGTGAGCTGGAGGCGAGGGGTGCAGCTGCAGCTGAGGGCCTGGGCGGGAAGGACTCACCACATAGGATCGGGCTGACTTGGAACCAGGATAACGATGTTCTACCACACTCGAAGAGGTCCACAGGCTATATGAAGCCACACGTCAGAAAATATAGCTTATTTACTACCCAAGTGTCAATACTCACTCAATGAAACCAGAAATAAGTGAAGCTGCAGGAAACGATGAGTCAGGAGTCAGAATGCAGAAATCAGGATCGGAACAACAGAGAGGAACCTAAATAGATGCGGAAATAATACATTGCATCAGTTTTGTCCTAATGGACGCGGGTGTGTTAACTGCAAAACTGCCTTGCTGTGACTGTGAGCTCCAGGCAGACACCGGAGGCTTGCTGGCAGTACTGGTGGCTAACGGGACTTAGTCCTAAGGACAAGTGTCATCCTCAGACACACGCTCCTGTCATCTCAGGGGACTCTTAATATTCTCCTTCACTACACTCTGAATTTCCACTCGCAGCTCAGACACAGAGAAAGATGAACAAAGATAACCCAGAGCCCTCAGTTTTTCATTTTCATTCTCTTGTCTGGCCCTTGCCTTGTCATTTTCAAATGAAAAGAGCTGCTGGCTCCCTAGGCAACTTTTCTTTGAAATAATTTGTTTAGATTTATAATTAGTCATTTTGCACTGAATAATAAAAATTATCCTTTTAACTAAAACAGCCAGCAAATACCTGAAGTGGTTTCAAGGAGGCAACTCACACTGTGTTTCAAGGGCCACACTGCTCAACCTCTCGGCACACTGCAGCAGGACATCAGGACTGAAATCAGTGCTGTGGCCTCGACACAGAGGTGCACCGGGAGACGGGATTTACGGCATGTCGCAGGTGCTCTGAGAAATGACTAACGGTTGGGCTTTAGCTCAGATACTTTCCCCATTTACAGTGAGAGTGCTATATGTTTCTCCATTTTCTTTATTTTATTTTTTAAAAGATTTTACATATCTCTTTAAAGATTTATTTATTTTTAGAGAAAGGAAGGGAGGGAGAAAAAGAGGGAGAGAAACATCAGTGTGTGGTTGCCTCTTGTGCAGACCCTACTGGGGGCCTAGCCCGCAACCCAGGTATGTGCCCTAGACTAGGAATCAAACCAGCAACCCTTTGGTTCACAGGCCTGCGCTCAATCTACTGAACCACACCAGTCAGGGCTCATTTTCTTTTTAGAATTATTTTATTAACACTTAGCTGTTGGCCTCTCCTGAGGTTGGGTATATAACAGGACTTTACTACAGAGGTCACCAATGTGACTGAGAGCTAAGCTAACAGGAGGAGAGGACTATTCCAAAAGCAGACTAAGTTAAAACAGCAACGCAGAAGCAGTAAAACAATAGCTTTGCAATTCAAAATTCTGGAAAAGAGATATCTTACTTTTTTAATGAAATTTACGGGTTTTTGTTTAGTATTTTTTGTATTGTGTTACATGTGAAGAGGAATAACACGATTTTTTCCAGTATATGTAGGGTCTCTCTGTCAGGAAAAATTGTAAAGGACTTCAAAATGGGCAAAAAGATTCCTGGGCATTCTACCTGGTGTATCTTTCCAGGTTCTGTCTGCCGTTGCCTGTGAGGTGTTTTATTTTACAGTTGTGTAAGTTGTACACAACTTACATTCCTGCAAATGATCCTTGTCCATAGAAATCCAAATAAACTGTGTCCTGTGGAATGCAACTGATTATTGCCCTGTGAGTACCGGCCTGTTTTGCAACTGTTTATAAATTCCTTTCAGCATTCCTGATGGTGTGTATATACATGCGATACTTTGAATTCTCCTTTTAAATATAGTATTTTATGTATTCTCTCATAATTAATAAAGTAAAAACCTTTGAAACATGTTCATTTTATATTTATACATGATTTATAATGTACCTGTATAAAATTATTTTATTTTTCATTTTCTTTCTTTTATTGAGATATAATTGACACATAACATTATACTACTTTCAGATATACCACAAAATAATATGCCACTTGTATATATTGTGGAATGATCACTGCAGCAAGGCTACTAACATCCATCACCATACATGGTTACCACATTTTTTTCTTGTGATAAGAACTTTTAAGATCTACTCTCTCAGCAATTTTCGAGTGTACAATTCAGTGTTACTGACTATAGTCGCCATGCTGTACATGACATCCCCAGGACTTATTGATTTTATAAGTTTGTACCTTTTGACCCCCTTCACCCACTTCCTCCATTCCCCACACCACCAATCTGTTCCTTGTATGTATGAGCTTGGTGTTTTTAAAAAAATTCTTTTTAATAAGTCTTTAGTCCAAAAGCTTTGGACTGACTTTTGGAGGAGAACTGAGAGTAGAGAGAGAAGGGTGGGCATGTGGTAAGGTTTCTTTAAAAACTGTGCATGAAGTTTCTTTCTGGCCTATTCAATTTCCAAAACCTCAATTTACCTTCCACTCCTAGGATAATGATGGAACTGAACATCAGGGTGGGGAAGCGCTCACTTAGGGGAACAGGGGAGGGAGGGGGATCCGGAGAGCGTGTGTTCAAGTGCAATAGGAGGCAAGCAGGGAAGGGCTTCCGGGGAAGGAATTCTGATGCCACTTCAAGTTTGATACTGCCCAGAGGAATTCTTTCTTTAGGGACCCTGGACTCCCTTCCCTTCATCCCTATCTGTTCTCTCTAAAGATGGGGCATCAGAACCCAGATCCTTAATATGGTTAAGGATCATTTCCTTATTGGAAATGAGGACCAATAAGCAAGTTTACTGTAATCATTTTGCACAACTAGAACATTAACACAGTAATCAAATACGTTCAGCTTTCCCTTCCCCACCTCTCACTTTTTTTTCTTTTGCAATTCGACGGAGGCCACTTGAATCCCTGCTGCAGCTTACTCAGACAACAAGGGAGCTAACCAATGTTCTAGCCATCCACAAACAACAAAACAATTGGTTAGATGTGGTGCTTTGCCTGAGTGCAATTTGAGAACCCAGAATGTCTTCCTTGGCCTGAGGATACCATCTGCCCGAGCAAAGCAGGATAAAGAGAAGTTACAGCAGCCCCAAAGAAGTTGCCGTTATATCTAATCTGTGACGCTCCTGCCTCCACTTGCCCTCAAGATATCTAAATGCTTCTAGGGTGTTTACACAGTCTTGCGTTTTATTTCTGCACACCCGTCCGTGTTCTTTCTCTTCTGTCGCCTTGCCCTCTGCCTTTGTTAAACCTCCCTCTTTCCCACCAGTCCCTTCTCAGCGAGCGCTTCCATGTAAACAATCACGGGCATTTCTTCGCAGTAATTTATAGCAGTTAAAAATGAGAAAGCCCTGGAGTCAGACAGACCTTGGTTTCTAATTGCAGGGCCATTTTTCACCTACCTGTGTGGCCTTAGGAAATTAGCTAAAAGCTCTAAGCTTCAATTTCTCCACCTGTAAAATAAGGATAATACTATTTACTTTATTGGGCAGCTGTGAGGATGAAATGAGGCAATTAAGTGAAGCTCAGGGCCTGATACAGGCATCTATTACTGCTGCAATTTCCTTTCCTGTCTCCTCTTTCCTGTTTTACCTCGTTTTTAAGTGTTTTTCTATTTCCTATTTTCTTATTTGCAGGTACTACTTCACCGCCTTCCCCTCAATCCAACAGCAGATTCCAACGGGCTGCAGGACATGCCACCCCCCAAATATGGCACTTTGGCCAGTTATCTATTTTATGCTGAAAAAATTTGAGAAGCTGTGGGTATAGGAAGGCCTTTTCTTAAAAAAAAGATTTTATTTATTTATTTTTAGAGTGAGGGGAAGGGAGGGAGAAAGAGAGGGAGAGAACCATCGACAGGCTGCCTCTCGGGTGCACACAGACCTGACCGAAGCTGCAGCGCAGGCATGTGCCCCGACTGGGAATCAGTGGACGGCCTTTCGCTTTGCAGGACCCACTGAGCACAGGTCAGGGCTAAAAAGGCCTTTTTGACTTTTTCCTGAAGCAGGTCGTAAAGCCCACATTCAAGAGGTGCCTCTCCTGCACCCAGGGCAACGGAACATCCTTATCTCTGAAGCTAGAGGGAGCAGAGAGGAATATTTTTTTAAAAAAAGGACTTGCTACATTACCGATTTACTACCCTTCCCTCGGGACCCTTCTGGGCCAACGCACTTTTGCAGGGCTCTCCACATTCTACCTGACCTTGTGTGAGAACCCTCACCTTTAACTGCTTCTTCAGGTTTTCACTGTGAAGCCTTCTTTATGAAGGGTCCTGTGTCATTTAACACTTGTATCAAATAAGTGTGTATGCTTTTCTGTCCTTTAAATAAAAATTAGTACAAAATTTAAATATATCTATAATACAAAATTTATATTTATTTGGTTACAGTTGAATAAACAAAAAGTAAAATAAAGGCGTTCATCTGCCTTTTGCTGCAGGAACTCTAGCTAAGAATTTAGAAGGGGAAGAGGAAAAGACATTTATTTTTTTTCCTCCCCTCTAATACTGATATTTAAAAGAGTGGTCATATGTATTGTATCATTTAAAAAAAATCCTCATCTGAGGATATTTTTTTTCATTGCTTTTTAGAGGAAGGGGAAAGGAGAAAGAGAAACAGCCGTGTGAGAGAGAAGCACCGACCGATTTCCTGTCCTACAAGCCGGGACTCCGGGGATCTGCACGCGGGCCAGGGACCGAGTGCGTCCCTTGGAGGGGTGGAGGGGTGGCGGCACGCACCCGTGCGGGGCCAGCCCGCAGCCTAGGTGTGTGCCCTGGCTGGGAAGGAGCCTGCAACATTTTCGTTATCGGGCATTGCTCCAACCAACTGAGCCACACCAACCAGGGCTGTATGACTTTTTAATTACAATTCATCCCAGTTATTTCATCTATGATCTAGGGGGAAAAGCCTATCAGTAAACCACTGACAGTGCCTGCTTCATACTAACACCCAAAGAAGTGTGAGATGTTGTTATTGTTTTATTTTACTGGTCCTTTCACAAGGGTGTATTATGACATAATTCACATAACTAACACATGACTTTGCTGAAAGGTAGCAAATTCTTGGGTTTCTAGTTCATCTAATGACCGATGATTCTAATCAGAGAGGTTCGTTTGATGATATTACTTGTGCTTGGTTTAGATAACATTTTGGATGTGTTTCATCCTAAGACAAAACACTGGCCGAAAGATGCCACTGTGAGCAGCACAACAGGGGGTTCCTGCTGCTACGGTAAAGCTGCGTTATGCTCATTCCTCGCTTTCCAAAAGCAGAACATTCTGATCCTGTGAC